ATTTGTCAAGGCACAAGCCATGCTGGGAAGATTTTAGAGCTGATTTCCTGCATGACGACTCATCCTACTGATCTCCATTACTGCAGTTTGCACTTTAACACTTCACCTGCAGCAGCACTCTTTGGTAGGGTGGCATGTTTACCAGCACAGGCGTGCTTCCTCAGTAATGGCTGTGCGTGCTGACAATGTCACTTGAGTTCTTCAGTCTTAGAGCTAGGCTATCCTGCTGCTGCCACGCACAGTGCAGATGCAGAAGAAACCATGTTGAAGAGGTTCTTCCTACAACTCTGCAGCAGAGAGTCCTGCCGATAAACTATCCCTGTTACCAAACGCGAATTTGTGTCTTGCACTCCTCAGACCCCTCCAAAGCAGTTTGTTCATCCAAAGCACAGCACAGACACTGACTCAGATTCCCACAGGGTCAAAGCAGATTAGGGGTTTTATTTTTTCTACTGTTCATTGGTGAAGAATTGATGTGATGGGACCTGTGATATGCACAGGTGAGGGATGGAGGAGAAAGGATTTCTTCCACACGCTGTTGCGTGCTGTTTGGATGGGATAGGAGCTGTGTCTGCTTTTCAAGGAAAAATTCTGAAAAAACCAAAACCGTGATGATCTCATTTTCTGTCTTCAGAAGAAAAGCTGGTCGTCAGCCTTTGCTGTGAAGATCTGTTGCTTGTGAGTCTCCTTCATTTCTAGGGGACAGTGCTGACATAGATACCTGACAGATGAACCTGCCCAGCCTGGCTATGTGCATCATGCAACTATTTGAGCTTCCAGAGGGATTTGGGTGCTAGGGCCATCTGAATGCATCTTCACCACTGTCTTGTAGTGATGAGGAGTCTGCCCACTCGCTACATGTTGGTTTTGGGGTATTTTTTGGGTTTCCCCCCCTTTTGATCTTCTTTGAGTCAATGTCAGTGATGCACGAGGAGTTCTTTCAATATTTAACAGAGGATCAGTGGTGCCAGTACTATAATTATTTCAGAAAAATGTACTGGGTTGGTTCCATTTGTTTTTTAGTTATAAATATTGAGTCATATCAGGAGGTAATTAGTTCTGATACCTGGATCAGAGTTACGTGTCTATGCCCATACTTGCCCAGTACTGACTCCTTTCCTTGGGGCAGTTTGAGGTTATACAAGGGATGGAGGAGTTCTGGCAAAGATTCACTCAGCTGTTGACCTTCTCATGTAACTCAACTTCGTGCTGTTCGCTATTGCGAATGGGTAGAGTCAAAGAAACTCCAGGAGTGCTGCATGTTCTTAGTCCATGAAATTGACTAAATATATTTGGGAAAGCTCTCAGCTGATTGCACATGAAATAAATCTTTTTCCTTGGGATGCAGCACATTGTCCATCTGTTCTTCAGTTGTGTCGTGCAATGAGAAGGTGCTACAGTACGTGGCCTTCCCTTGATGCTGTAACAACAAGCTGCTTTCCTTGACCACAGAAGTTGGGCTTTAAGAACTGGCACATAGCTCAGTAAAAAGTCATGCCAAATTTTTGCTTTAGTGATTAAACTTGACAGTGGTTTGCTTTCTAAAACATGTGAACTTCTACAAATAATTTTATTCTGAGCTTTGCTTAGAGAATCAGTAAATGTAATTGCTTAACAAGAGTGTTTGTTTTAAAATGCTACAGTATATGTTGACACAATTTTAATATGTCCATTGCACAATATAATCCAAGTTGTAAGGATGGAGTTGTCTGGATGTGAGGTGTGGTTGGGGAGTAGGTGAGAGCCGGGATGACAATGAATGGAACAAGTGTCTTGATATCCTACTTGTAATTTAAGCAAATTCCCACATGTAAGTTTGTGGAACACAATTATATGTAATTCGGTGGCTCTGGCCTACTTTGGTCTTTTACCCCAGCAGAAACAGCATAAGGAAATCCTTAAACAGCAGAGATTTCAAAACTCAAACCATGTCATTTGAGGGAACCAGTTTTTTGGAGTAAAGTGATAATGTTAGCCTTTCACCAAGCACCTCAGTCTGGGACTGAGGGAGTGTGTCACACAGAAGGGTTGAGTGTCATTTACACTTTTGAGGAAAACAGAGGTGAAGATGGTCTCAATGATTCCTAAGAGAATAAAGCACCTGTCCTCTTACTGAAAATTATTTTGGTTGCCTCCCATGCAGAGTATAGCTAAAAAGAGAATCTTCATTTTACCGCATTTTGAAAGACAGTTTTCAAGTTTCTGGGCTTCTAATTTAATATTACAGTGTGAAGTCTGAGTGCCAAAGTGTTTTTCACAGGACAGCCAGAGATTATGGTTCAAGTCAGTTTAAATACATGAATGCAAGTTTCTTTGGGAGTTTTGCTTCTTAAGCTGCTACTTGCTTGATGCTTTAATCCTATTTATTTTCTAAAAGTAATTAGAAGGTAATGCTTTTTGATTAATAATTGTGATATATTTCTAGATTAACTAAGACTATTTTAAGACATGCAAGCTTTTTAAAGATGAAATAGAAATTGTAGGACAAACAATATTTTATTTATTAATCACTGTCTTGAAGGGAACATGCACGTTTTCTTTGTGATAGTGTTTCTAGTATAAAAGTGTTCAATTTTCTTAGACTGATGTTTGAGAAATAAACCACTGAACTGATAAAAAATTCACAGTATGAAAAATTCATTTTCCTTACAGATTGTTCTGTTATATAGTATGATAATACCAAGATCTGTAGAAAGATCTCTTGGAAAAGTTAAAGAAGGTTGATAGAAGAACACTCAGTAGCATCCAAGACCTTGTACTTTAGTCAATTTGTATGTGACTGTGGGATCCTATCAGAAGTCATCAATTGAAAGGTTTTGGAAGGCCATTGTGTCCTCTGGGGGTTAGTGAATATCTCAGGGTTCGGCTAATAATTTTACTCAAGAACTAAGAAACTGTTATTGATGAAGCTACTATTAAACAAGAGTGCCCCTGACTTCTTCAGGACTGTCTGGTCACCGATTTTCATTTCTTTATATATAATGTATGTATGTATGTATATTCTATATACATAAATGTATGTATATGTTTATATATATATATCTATATATAAAAGCATATATGCACATGTATATATACATGCTCGTGTGTATATTTAAATGGTTGTGGTTGTATTGCCAGTCTGTCTCTTTCTAGGGTTCTTAAAGAAACTGCTTTCTCAAGCACTTGAAATTGAGTCCTTTGACTCTGGAGGATTTGATAGTAAGGAAACTTGCATGAACTAAATGGAAAGTAGGATGGTAATTACAGCTCACTTTGTATTTTTGTTTCACTTAATTTACAATCTGAGGCACAGTCAGGTGGTTGGGCGTTTTAATGTTGCAGCTGTGACAGTCTGATCACAGAACCTGGTGAGACTACTCATGTATTTCCTCCTTCAGATTCATAGAAGTGTTAGTGTAGGCTTTTCTATATATTCAGTTATGAACAGAAAAAAACTAAATGAAGTAAATAAAATTGTTGTTATAATTGTCATTCAGTGATATCAAAAGAGAAAAAAATATACTCTTTTAGTCTGTGAAATTGCCTGTAGTGTTAATTTATTGCTATGAAGGTAGCATGGAGAGGGAAGATGTATTGATATTTCATTAAAAGAAAATTTCAGGTGGAGTAGTTTTTGTATTTAAAAAACATTTGTAGATGAACAATATGCTGCATTAGCAAGACTAAATTGATGGTATTACTGTTGAAGTTGAAAGTAGACCAATATTTTTTAAATGGGTTTTTGAGACATAAAATTTTGCCTGTTTAGGATTTGGTTTGCCTAGACCAAATTAACTCGGACACTCAGCAGGGACTCTTATTTATTCTGGCATAAGAACAAGCATTGGGCAGAGCTTCCTGGTCTCAGAAAACTGGTGATGGTAAGAGGCCTCTGTAGTGTTCCCAGCCAGCTGAATGCCTGAGGTATTTTGCCATACAGGAAATCAATTGCAGCTGAATGTGCACTGTTTCCACTCCAAGTATATAAACAGGCCTTATGATGATATAAAAAAGAGAAGAAAAAATTAAATAGTTTCTTGAAAGTTCAGAGCAAGAACATTTGATGTTTGGTTTCTGTGGATTGTTCACTGTCACCTTTGGCCCAGTCCGTAGCACAGAAATAGCAAAGGGGAGCTGAATTAATCTTGGGGTCCCCTAGAACGGGAAAATGTAAAGGAATGTCTTAGAGAAATGAAAAAAATAAAAAAGGTATCTTTGTTCAGTTCCAGTTGATATTCTGAAGCTGGGAAGGGTTACAAATTTAGCAAAGGAAATGAGTTCTTTCCCTTGTTAAATCAAGAATCCTCCATTTTTTAGGCTTTAAGGTGGATTAATACATTTTGCGAGAAAAAGCTGCACCACGATTGTATCTAGATAGCTGCTTTTTGTGAAGTGGTAGAAGAAACATTATTTTCATTTGGATATTTATCATGCTTTGTTGACCTTGTGAAAATACCTAGATCAGATGGAGGTACCAGGCAGATCTCGGTGACCAATGTCTCATGTGCTTTAATGGCCACCGATGTTGCTTACCAGGAAAGTGAGGGCTCACTTGGATAGAAGTTTCCAAGGATTAAAGATAATTAAGTTGAATATCAGCGCTAACAATTTCCAGAAGGAGTGTGGCCTGAAGTCCTTGGGGTTTAGTGCTTCGGAATGCAGCAGCACTTCCTTGCTCCACCACAGATGTACAGCACGACCATAGGCAAGCTGTCTGATCTAGATTTTTAAAGATATATAGGTAGGCAGAGGTGCTAAAGGCTCTTAATGGGATTTTCAGAATCACATTAGTGTCTAATTCCTATTCAAAATCTGACCCTTTAGCTTGCCTGAACTGGATTCAGCTCGTGCTATGTTTTATTCAGCTACTCTTTAAGTCAGAACAGGCAAGCAGTACATACAGCAAGCACGACTTAGGGGGTATAAACCAGAATGAGTGTGGACTCCCACTGAGCTGTGCAGCTGTGCTGCCTTTTATCCCTTCTCTAATTCCATAATTTCTACCCTCCTTTCTGCAGAATGCCAGAGATTCAACAGAGGAAAGGAAAAGTGACTCTGCTTTGCCTAACCCAACAGTAATATATTTGGTGAGTGCTCTACCAGGTAAATTTTTTTTATTATTATTTTAACGTTTTGCTTTGTTTTTGTAATTCTAGATTTGAGATGATGTTTGCTGTGCCTCTGACTGAGATGATTATTATTGCTGTATAGTCAATGTGCCTCAGGTTAACCATGAGGCTGCTAAATATGCAAATCCACAGTAGGTCAGTGTGCTGCATGGGCCTGACATGAGGGTTAGCTGGGACAGTGGGTTTTTTTCTTGCGCACACTAGTGGAGTTTTATGCTAATTAAATTAAATTCGGGAGGGGGCCTTAGCAGTTAGGGGAGGTTAAGTCTTCATTTTTAGTCCTTGTTTCTGTAACTGAAATTTTGCTAAAGATCTGTAGCTGAAGTTTTGTTTGGTTGCTTAATTCTATCCATTTGGAATTAAAAATGCCACTTTCATGAAGAAACAATGGTCTGTCCGTGGGGATGGGGAGATTGGGGATGGGGAAATCTGGGATGACTGTTCTCCTGAGATTTCCTATGTTACTTTATGACATTTTAAGAAGAAATTGATGTTTCTTAGTTTATTTTTTAGGGATTTAATTTTGTTTATGTAATCTCACTGCCTGAAATTCTTGGGAGACTTGGGGAACTTCAGAGCATAGGAAAAGCAGATTTAAATGCCATGGAAATGTTACTTGATTTTAATAACCAATTTCTCTCATTTGATTATCTAAAACAAATTGACATTCCAGAAATCTTCATGATAGGGCTGACAGGAAACTCCACAGAAAATATCAAATAAGAGAGCTTTAGGCAACATCCCTTTCTCCTCCTTTCCTCCTCAGTGCTGGTGCCAACCTGAAGGAATCTTTTCTTCTCTCTGAAAAAAGCAGACATTCAGTGGGTAACAGCATAGACACTGCTATTTGGAGAAACTTGATGTCTTATAAGTAACCTACTTCACTCCTTCCAATGCTAATACTGAAACCAGTATAGCATGGATCAGTTTATAATTAAAAAAAAAAAGTGCCTTATGTTAATTGCCACTCTGGCTTCTGTGATCTGCAGAGGGAATACTAATATGCTATATTAGACTACTAATTAATAATTCTTTTCCCTCCTGATGGTGGGGCTTTTAATATAATTTTGTATTTATCATCCAACTGGGTTAGAATTTTATAAAATTTTAGGAGAATGGCAACTTTATTTTGGCTCCAGTGCTTTGAGATTGCATAACTGTACTAGAGAGATACTTGCAGGACTGCATAGCATTAAATTGAAACTTACATCTGACAAACATTAGTGAGATCTTATTTTCCTTTGGATCCAAGGGAAAACAGTAGGAAAACATTTTGCAGAGGCTGCAAGAGGAAAGACCAGAAATTCCTCTTCAGTGTTTTCTAAAAATAGCAAGATTTGAATAAGGTTGCATGTTTCAACATGCATTAGAGAAAAATAATTGGCATGACCTAAATTCAGTACACTAGTTCTCTGTGTTATTTACCAATCGCTAATTACTAGAATATTTTTTCATCCATAAATGTGGATGGGCTGTACATTCCCAGCTTCCACACAGGAAATAATTTTATTTATTTAGCTTGAAATTTGTGCTTATCCAAATGCACACAAAGTATTTGCCTAGTGACCTTAGAGTGAATTATTTGCACAAACATCCCCCCTCCCCTGATTTCCATTTAATTTCAAATGTGGTGCTTGGCCTTGGTTTTGAGTTGCAGTGATTTTATTGTGTTTTCATGCTGAACAGAAAAGCTAAACCAGACTGTCAGACTCGAAAAACCTCTCTTCTGGAAACTGAGGTAACATGGATTGTGCCTGTGGCCTAAGATGCAGAAGATTTCCTAAGATTCTTTGGGATCCATGGCATACAATCATTCGCTGTGAAGTGCTTCAAAAAATTGTTGTATCAACAAAACTGGAGTATATGGGAATGTACCAACTAATGGGATAAGGCATTCAAGGGCTAGATGAAGTGCATATAGTAAGGAATTCATTTTGTGGGAAAAAGGAAGAAACCTAAAATATGAGAAGTGGTGTTCTGTAAAAAGAGTAGCGTAATGGTTTAGGTATATACAGCTTTGGGGGACAGATGTTAAATCTTACCAAATAATCATCAGTAATTTTGCAGAATTTGTTTCACATGTCAGACTTAAGTCTGGAACTTCTAAGGATATTTTCATTCTGAAAGACTTAAGTCTGGAACTTCTAAGGATATTTTCATTCTGAAAAACTTTTGGAGATGGTGGGGGAGACATTCCATGAAATTTGTTTATATTTTGCTATTATCCATTTGACTTATATAACAATATTGTCTGGTTTTAATTTTTTCAATAAGTGGGTCATCAGCTCTTAATATCGTAACATCTGTTGTAACAGAGAAGGAAACATCAGGTCAACATACTTTGTTCTGACAATTCAGGATGAGTTTTAATATGCAGTGTGTTTATGCTAGAAGTCAATACATAAAAAAATTCCTTGAGTATCTGTGCATCACTGAATGCTTTGTTTAGGCCATGCCTTTAATGGTATGAGGGCTTGCAAGTCTCTGTGGGGGTGGAGAGGAATGATGCTGTGCCCACGTGTGAGCTTTTCTGTAAGTCGGTTCTATTTTTGGTATGCAAGAAGCAGAGGTACAGGGCAAAACCAGGGGTTCAGTTGCAATATGAAGGCCTGTAAAAGTTTTCCTGTCGTGGGAAGCGCCTAGCAGGCTTGTAGAGCCGTTGCATTAGTGTCCATGGGAATATTTGGGGTTTAATTTAGCATGCTAGATTAGGGCCTAACACCTTAATTAAGGCTAACAGTTTTTAATAAGTTTCTCCCAAACCCTTTGTGGCTGACTATAGTTGTGAACCAGCCATAATATAAAGCCCATCTCTAGGGTTCTCTGTTGTTGGCGGTTTTATGAAAGCTGGCATTCTATTTCAGAGTGATGAAGCTGACGAGCAAATGTAATCTTTTTAACAGAAAGTTCCACAGATCTGACTAGACTTCTTAAAAATATTAATCCAAATAATTTATGCCAGGGATATATTGAAAGTCTAAACATATAGTACATTTAGACTAATGGTTTTATAAAAATTGTGATAACTGTTTCAGAGAAGGCTTTGTTAATTGATAAAACAGCTTTTCCAGATGCTGCTTAATTCTCTTGTCAGCTCACATGTTTGGGATTTTCTGCTGTGAGAAAGATTATAACTGAATTGTCTGGACAAAATCACTATTAATATAATTAAGATTTTGTATAATTTGTAGACAACGTTATTTGTTTTTTAAACATTTGTATATTAAAGTGTTGAATAAAATTTCTTATATTCATTTTAAAAAAAAATCCAAACCCACAAGCCCACTCAACCCCATCTTCCCCCGTCCCCAGCCATGCCTGCTCAGAGCGGTCAGGTCCTTTCCTGCTGCCATCTCCTATTGTTGCGGTCAAATGACCAAGGAAAAGTGTATACTTCCTTTTGTGTCCTGTAGATAGGGGTTCTTAATTGATGACCGCTGCTTTCTTTCTGACAGAAAGGAAATGAATGGGCAGTAGTGATTATAGCACATCTGTTGTTTTCTAGTGAGCATCCTGTACAGCAATGACACTGTCTTGAAGATTACTTTTTTTTTTTTTCCTGTTCAGGAGTAGTTAATAGAGGAGGTACGGGTGACATGTGACAGTATTGTTCCTTTGTCACAGGTGTAACCAGAGCAGAAAAACAAATTGCACAATGGAAGAGAATGACTTGTTTTTAAATAAGTGTATTTTACAAAAACAACAACAAAGAAATCTTTCAAAGACTTCAGTGATGTACTGTGTTTACTGTCTTTGGTTGCAGGTTGTAGGCAACAAGTCTTGTCTTCGTAGTATGGTCACTGCGTTGCAGATTTAACACTCCAAAATCACACTGAAAATGACTTTCTCTAGAAAAGGGGAGAAATAAAATAGCATTCATACCAAGGGCTCAAAAGCTGAAATGTTCACACAGCTTTCACTCTGCGATGTGGTTTCTCAGTCTGTAATATCATTGTCCAAATCCTGCTTGAAAATCTTTTACTTGATGTATTGCAGCATAGCTCTTGGAAGTGCTGAGGAATGAACTGGGCAGCTCTATGGTGAGTTCCTGTCCTCCTGGAGAGGGGGGCTAGGGATGGATGAAGCTCCTTACCTGACTTTACAGGTGACAGAGAAGGAAGTTTTGGGGACAGATGAATGGTGAACTATAGATAAGGGTCTGGCCTGAGAGAAGAATGGGACTTGAAGGTAGGGAAGACAGATATCTGGGGAAATGATTGGGGGAGGCCAGTAAAACAGCTGGATGTGGTAGGGGAATATACCACAACTTGCCCTTCACATCACATCAGCCACAATTTTTCCACAATTTTTTTCTTTTTGACTCTTGTATTATAAAGAAGTGAAAGTGGTAGATGCTCTATGTGTACCCTGAGTGTGTCTTGAACAGGGGAACTTTTTGTTCTTTCTTGCCAAGAAAAGTACTTGAAAAACCATTAATTGAAAGAGCTGTGTAAATCTGAATCCTTACCACTTACTCTGTTGTCCTTTGTTCCTTCTTTTTACTTTTATCCTGTTTAATTGCAGCGTTTCTTGTAAGCAAGGTGCCAGTACTCTGCTTTTGCACAGTCTGAATATATTGGTACTTAAACTAATAGAGTTTATGTTGGGCTTTGATGAAGCTGGTGAACTCAAATCAGCAGACTGAGTAGTGCTGCCCTCTTTCTTGGGGGTTTGTGATATGTATTGGATAAAATTGAAGGTTTTTTCAGCCCCTCCCTGTCACTTGGGCTATCCCAAGAGCTGCTCTATCCCTGTACTCTTAAGAGAGGATCTCCATCACTTAACAAAGGAGGTGTTGAGATGTTCAACTTCCTATCCATAAGACACCATTTAACTGAAAGCTTACAGCCTTCCTTAAGCTAAATAGGTTTTTTAAATAACAGATATACCTGCCCACCATAGACAGGAAAAGTGAGCAAGAACTGTGCTGTAGGTGAACATCAACATAGCTGAATGCAAAATTAATGATACCAT